TTTCCTATCATGCGGATTATTAAATATTTTCCGGACTTTTCTAATATGCCCATGTGCTTAATATCATATATAATGACAATGATTTAGAACATAATGATTGATATAATTAGCAATGATATTTGATTATTTACAAATGTTTTTATATAAATGCAGTAATTTCATATACATACTGATAAACACTTCATATTATTTCATTTTATTACTAAAAATCACAATAAATTTAAAGTCTTCTGAGTATTTATTTATAACACAATTATATGCATTAACTTCGATTATAATATACTATGCTGTATACATATATATATATATATATATATATATATATATATATATATAAAGTATATATCGTATCTTATATACATAAATCTGTTGTACGTCTTAGAAGGTTTTTGGCAATAATAATTTCTACATTATATTTTTCTTACTCATAATTTTACCTGATATCAAATTTTAACTGGATAGACATTTTGACTGTTCTCTGCCTGTTTTTTGCAATTTTTCTACATTATTTCTATAAGTTTATTACCACTATTTTATTTTCATTAACAAACTCTAAAATGATTTATCAAAATTTGAATAACCGTTTAGCAGCGTTTGAGTGACATACAGAACACATACAGAAGATTTATGTATATAAGTATACATATATGTATATATATATATATATATATATATATATATATATATCTATATATATATATATATATATATATATAATATATATATATATATATATATATATATATATATTTGTAAATATTGATTTAGGTGTATAAAGTGTAAGTGTAAGTGTATACCCAAATATTTTATAATTTTTTTTCAAAAACCTACAAACCCTTTCAATCAGTTACTACTTTATATGCAAAACGCAGAAATCACTCATACTTTATCATAAAACCATATCAGAAAAACCAAAAAAAAAACCCTAATCAAGTGCGAATAAACCCAAAAATTTAACTTTTTAATCCTTTACCTTATTTCTATATTTTTCTCGCACAAGATTGAAGATTCCTATAAATTTTCCGTTAAAATTTTATCATTTTTCTACTTATTAAGTGTTTTTTTACGTGTAGAAAGAGCAAATTAAGATACGTCATGTTTACTTCGAATAATTGTGCTGGCAGTGATTTTAATTTACAATCATACATTTCAAGATTTGCAAATATTGATAAATAAAAATTAAGAAAATATATCTGGCTGTTTAGATAAATAAAAACATTATTAAAAATTTATTGAATAATAGTTAGAAATGTTTAAGGTACGTTCTTAAGTTTATTTGAAACTGCTTCTTTGCAAAGGAATAAAAAAAATCTATTCTCATCAGTAATATTTATGAAAAAATTAAATTAATATTTAATATAATAATTTTTTTAATGAATTTTTATTAAAAAAAAGTTTTCTTAAAAAAACATTTTGCAGAAGTTTTGTTTTAATAGAATTTCACTTTAATAGAACGTTTTTTTTATAAATATGATAAGTCGAAATCTTCATTTCGCAAGATAAATTATGCACAAGATTAATTTACAATTTAAAGTCTTAAAAGAAAGGTTATGTTACCATTCGGTCATCTTTTATCAATTGTTTCTCTCAATTTAAAAGAAACTAGCCTGGTTATACTAAAAAAATGGTTTTTCAAAAGTGGAGGCATGTTCAATATATATTAGACACAAATTTCGAAACAAAAAACGAAAGAAAATACTTTTGTTAAAGATTTTCAAACGTGGTTTATTATCTTCTGAAAACTACGTTATTTGATTTTAGACAAAGACTGATTACACATATTTTGCCTTCTACTTTCAAATACCATTGTGAAAAAATCCCTAACTTTACTCGTTTTTGAGATATCGGTGGTGGATTTTGGCTTTTTACCCGCGGACCTTTAAGTTCCGTTTTACTCTATTTGATTAACAAGAAAAAGATGTCAATAAATATTGTAGCAAATCAAAAACAAATATAAATATATTGAAAATGAATTCTTTCTTAACCATATTTCTCGTTATGACCAGGCAAGTTTTTATTTAATTTTCTTTTATTATTCCTTTGAGATTCGCAATACCTCTAACAAAAATGTTTCAAAACCCGACAATTAACTGAAGAAAGTAAAATAGTATCTTCTTTCGCTTACATTATTTTCACAATATTAATTTTATATTTTCATCTTATTATCCTTTCCTTGATGAATAATAATCGTACATTTCTAATTCATTAAATAGAATTATTGTTAAAACTAAATAATTTGTGCCTAGTGACAACTCGCAGCCGTTTCATAATAATTAATAAATGTCAATAATCCAAATCAAGGCATTATTATTTTAGTAATTATTACCAATTACACATCAAGAGTTACTACGATATATTTTCAATGGAGCATTTAGTAGATTTTGAGCTATTAATACAAAAAAATTTAATCCACTCATTAATACAAAAAAATCAGTTCAACAAATAGTTTTAAATATTTGATTGCCTTTTGAAAAATTAAATACTGCTTTCTTTATATTTTGTTTTAAATTTAGGCCCGTCAACTTGCATATTTTTCTATAAACATTATGCTAAGATTTTCTGAATTTAACACAATCATTATAAAATTTATTAAAAATTTAATTAACATGTGAAGTGGAATAATTTTAGATTTAATTAAAGGGAAGCGTGATGATTTTCAATTCGTAATTGACATTCATTCATTTAAATTAAGAACAGATAATTTTTATTAGTAATTATTGAGATTTTCAAAAAAAATATTCAAGAACACGAGTCAACAAAAAGTAAAAATCCCAAAAAAAGTTTAAATTTCAGTTGTACCAAAATTAAATTTTAACTTTAAATAGAAATTTCATTTATATAAATATATATGTATATCGAATATATAATAATGGATATAGGTATGCTAAAACTCGAAAACGGCTGGACCGATTTGGCCAGTTTTATTCTTAGAAAATTCGTGCTGATTCAAAGATTGTGGGAAAGGTGAGAAATTATTCTAAAACCGCGCCAAAACTTCACATTTTTAATTCAAAATTTTTTGTAGAAACCTAATTTGAAATGAAACAATGAACGACGGCTCATACGTCGGATGTCAAATGTTCTTGACGGATTGTTCAACTAAATTTAATAGGGTGTTTTAGATAAATTTAGATTAATAATAGGGTCAGCTAGTATACATATATATTTACAAAAGAATTTTGTATTATAAATTAAAAGTATATTGATTTTATACGTAAGAATACATTATACTCATTATTTTAACTCATTATTATTTTGGGTCGAAGACAAAAACGAATGTTTAATAAATTATTTAAAATTATTAAAAATTATAAAATGTATTAGTATTTTATGCGTGTAGAAGCGGAAAAGCCGTTGGAATATAAATTTTGCATAGAATTTTATATAAAAACTATATAAATACAATACGTAATCATATTAAAAATTTGAGCATAATTATTAGTGATATAGTAGTAGTTTTTAGACTCATAAATGCACAACACTGTTTGAGAATTATTCCTAGCATATCTATTATCCATATCGTCTAATATAATATTTCTATCAAAACGTAAAAAAAATCAAATCATTGAAAAAAATGAATTTCTTAAATATTCCTACTTAGTTATATAATATGGTTATTTAATAATATCTTATTAACAATTTTTTAAACGTTATTCGTGTTTGATTCCGAAATTCTGTATAAAAATCCGTTATAACGTCCTCATTTATTAAACATATGTTTAGAATTACCTAAAATTTGAATTTATTTCGAATTCAAACAACGATCTTGATACACTTAATTCACTGATGTTTTTTCAAGTTAATTTTTTCTCTAAACTCGAGTTCTTGAGCTGCAATTAAAATTTTGCAAATGACCACGAAATGAAACCTTTTCACTTCACTATAAATTATTAGTATTACTATTCTATGAATTTTATTATTAGTAAATTACTACTCATTATTTTTGTCGATTATTATAACTCGTGAAGATTTGTTTGGTTGAACTAACTTTAGAAGAGCAACCTCGTTGTCATCAGATTGTTAGATGCCAAGAACTGGTAACTGACAATTTTATGGAAATAAATGAGAAAAGTGTCAGGAAAAAATACTACTCAACATGCTGAATACCGTCTTCAAATTATATTCCTTTTGGCTAATAATATATATTTTGGATTTTTAGAACATTGGACTTAGCGCTCTTCATGATCGTAATGCATTAAATTTGATGTTGACGTTATATCTCAAGTTTACAATTATTCTCATGCGCGATCTTAAATTTCTAAAGCAACCCTCCACCAAATTATTGAAATTTTCTGTTACCTCGATCATCCATCATTAGTATCCTATGCCACTGCTTGATCTATCCATCAGTCCTGGTTGAAGCCTTGAAAATTATTTTCTGACTAAGGATCATTCCTTTGTCATTCAATTTCCACTTATTGACACTGCCCATTGAAATATCTGCATCATTGCTCCATAATATTGATGAGTATCTGGTTGAAGCCTTGAAGATTATTTTCTGACTAAGGGTCATACATTGGTTATCCAATTTCCACTTATTGACACTGCCCATTGAAATATCTGCATCATTGCTCCATAATATTGATGAGTATTCCATTTCACCATCAAGAATTTCACTTTCATTAGAAATCAAGTACAAGAAGATTGATCCATCTATAATCCATTAAGAAAAAAACGTTGAACTTTGAATGCAATATGATCAAAAAATATCATTTTTCTCTTGGCATCTAGTAATAAGTCACCGAAGCATTCTTTCTACTCTCGTCCACGCACCAGTCTACAGTTGCGCACCAGGCAACCAAACAACATCCACTTTTAGGCGCTCTTCGCGGCGCCTGCAGCAAAACAGCTGGAAGATTCCCTTCTTCTCCTGCCAAAAGATCAGGCCTTAGAAGTAACGGATACTGCTGCGTCTGATCTCGATACTGGTGCCTCAGTTGATCGTACAGCCTCTTCTCATTAGTGCTGTCCGGAGTCTGAGGAAGCGAGTCCTTCCCTGGCCGGCGTTGGGTGCTGGGCTCCACCATTGGGTCCAGTGGTTCCGTGGGTTCCGTTGGTTCCATTGGCTCCTGCCAACGTCAGACTCCGCTGTTGTTCGTGAATCTCGGCGGCGGCAGAGGCGGCGGAGGTCGACCGTTGTTTCTTTCTTCGCGAGAGGATGGCTCGGAGGCAGCTGGGGTAATAGACACAAATTAGTACCAGGAGACATGTGAATTATGAATTAATAACACCTGTTTTGAGTACAAATCGACAATTGGAAAAGGATGAATAAATGTGGGTCTTACTGTGAATTTCATACGTATCTTTCACAATGTTTGAGTTTTTATGAAAAGATGGTGCTTTTTGCACCATTATTAGAATTAAGATTTTTTTTCTGAAAGATATGTGTACTAAAGAAAACTAATTGTTAAATTCCATCAGACTCTACATTCAAGTTACATTCCAAATCATTAATTTTAATTGATTAGATTGGTGGAAAAATCATTGATGAAACCCACTGATTTGAAAGAAATAAACCAAAGAGCATACCTATGTTTTGACCCATATTGGAAACTTTTGTGATGCAAATATCGAATTAATTAATTAATACATAAATATTTTTTTTAAAGAAAACCACCCAAAAACTCACAAATACCATACAGTACTGCCCTTAAGGTTTCCGAATTGGGATATTAAGCAACTTTTTTTTAAGGATTAAAATTGGAACTGTTTCTGAGGACGTTTTGTTTGACCATTATTGGAAATCGATCAATTGTTTAATATATTTTTTACCATATGACTAATTTAAAATTATTTATACCAAATACAAATTTCTCTAAAGTGTATATACACTAACAAAACATTTGCATGCAAAACGACAATAACAAGTAATAAATATTTACATCATATAAAACACTTTACAGAATACCTGTACACATTTCAATTAATATTTACAATAAATATAACCTGTAAAAAGCCAAAATTTGGTTATTATTTACATTTCGTGAAGTGCTGGTGCCTAAACTAATATGCTTGAAAAGCAAAAACTATAATTAGGAATATGTAGGTATATACAATCCTGTCAGAAAAGTGATTGATTAGTAATTTAATTGTTATAAATATTGCATAAAAGCTGTGGACAAAACTGTGAATTAGTATGTACATGTGGTATCAAACATTATTAATTAATTGTTTGATTTAATAAGGTGTAAGATAGTTATTCACAAATATGTTGCAATAAAGAAATGTACTATAAATAGTGTCAATTACAAATTGTACATATATTTGTTGAATAATTATCTTAATTGTGTAAGCACATTATTGTGAGTGATAATAATCATATGAATTGGATATTTTATTTTCTAAGTTATTTTGCATTTAATATAATAAAAATAAAGTAATGATTAAAATTTGTCCTGTTAATTCTCTCTTTTTACTTTTTCGCTGGCAATATAATCTCATTCTTTGATAACTGTGATATCTGTCTTGCTTAAAAAATATTTTCCATTTATATAACTTCAAAGATTTTTAGAAACTACAAATAATATAGAAATAATTTCTAATCAATAAACTTACGTTTAGTACACGGCACAAATGTTTAATTCGTTTTATTATTTTCAAGAAACAGGGTAAAATATTCTTCTGATTCAGGCATTTTTCATTAAATCAAGATTTGTGCTACAATGTAACTTTAAAATATTTATTTATCTACGCCGATTTCCTTGTTGATATCGGTACGCATACAATGTTGATGCCGGTACGTATACAACGACAGATCTCTACTCACATACACGTCGACTAATCACAATCGACCCGAATAGAAATGATCTCATCGAGAGCGAATGACAAACAGTTCAGGCGTAACGGACATCCGTTGCATTTGTACGGATTTACATCCTAGTCGCGCCTAAAGAAGTTTTACTTCAAAAATAAAATATCCAAATACATTATTATCATTACTAAAGCGTGTTTTTATCTAATATTTCTTTAGCTGTGAGTTTCTGTACCATTGTGCCTTGGATTTGGTTTTACTTTAGAAATTGTTACCTGGCACAGTGGCGTACGCCGAATGTCTTCGGGGGTCATAGGTACTGGTCAAACGTCTTTTTTCACGATACGGATGCCTGCTTATGCTTTTATCTATAAAATTCATAATTAGTAAACTATATAAATATATAGAAAAATAGTTACATTCAGTTTCCTGTTAATAAAAAAATTGGAGCGTTTTAACATGTCTATTGCCCAATGGATACCCCACAAAACAATACTTTTGTGAAGCATTATACTAATATCATTTAGGGGTCGTGTATTAATCACGTGATCATTTTTTAGAGATTTTTGAATCTCCTCCCCCTTGGTGATACGTCGAGATTTTTAAAATTACTTTTCTTTCCCCATCAGACATCTCTTCAAAAATGTTTGGATTTTTTTTTTAAATTAAGTGAAAAATAAATATACGTAATATCTTACTAGTCACCTCGCTCATGTGATTTTCGTGATTTTTTGTCAACTCCCCTCCACCCCCTAAAATCCTCACGTGATTACTGGACGCCCCCTTACATACAAAATTATTATTTATTATTTGGATTAAATCTTGGCTATAAACATGATAAAACAACTCCAAAAAATATTTGAAGCAATTTGGTAATTTTCTATAATTTATATATTTTATCATTAATTTACTAATTTAATTCTGTTTGAAACTAGTTTAAAGGCAAAACAAACTAATACTATTTGAGAACAGTTCAAATTTATGTCAAATTTCAAAATTAGTGAACGATCTTTGGTTTAATTTAAATTTAAATTAAAAACATTATTTATAATTAATAATATAAATACTAATTCAAAATAGAAATCTTCAATGTTATTATAAATTGTAAGAAAAATACCAAAATGTCTTCGCTATTACCAAATTAAGTTTTAGTACTAGTAGATGTTCTTAGTTGGTTAAGGTTGTGTTTTTTTCAAAGAAATAATATTCAGTTTTGACTCACATTATATATATATATATATATATATATATATATATATATAACAAATATATCATTGTTCTTAACTTTTTCTCATAATATCTTCAAGAATTTGTCTCTACTTCAGTCAAAACTGAACCCCATTTCATTTTTATTTTCTGCATTAAAATAAAACAAAATGATGATAAAAATTTTGAATTAAAATTAAAATTTCTAAAACAAAATAAGAAGTGTAAAAAGTGTAAAATAATACCAAAAAAATTATAAAAATATGGTTAAAATGTGTTGGTGGTGTTAGGCTTGATTTTTTAGTACCAGTTGATCAAGCATGTGGATTGAAGTATTCAAGAATATTATTGTTGTCGTACATAAATCATAATTAGTAAAAATAATTATTTTTTAAATAAATATATAAAATATATTTAATCAAAAATACAAGAAACCAGATAAGTTTCATAAGTCTTTACTACTATGATAAAAATTTCTTTTAGAACGTTATAAAAATTCTTAACCAAAATTTAGTCAATTGTTTTGATTTATGTATGATCACAATAATTTGATGGTATCCAGCATGTATATTTGTATTCTAGCAATATAAATATAAGATATATTCTATAAAAATAAGGCATTGATTAATTATTGACCGATTGCACCAAGTGTCTGCATTTATTCTATATTAACTAATAATGTAACAATTTGGTAATTAAAAATCCTTAAGACAAAAGTTTCTATAATCGATAATGAATTCATAGAAATTTTATCGGCTTTCTATGTTGATATTATTATTATAAAATAGCGCAACTTTCGTTTTGATTATTTATACTATGGGTTTCTAGCAAAGTTTTTAATTTAAATTGAAAACTAGATTTTACTAGCTCAAATCACTGATTTCTTCCTGGATCTTATAAAAAAATTACTGGCAAATTTTACATACATACAAGTTTCAATTTAATACAAGAAGTTAATAAATTTTGAGACCTTTATGTGTCATCAGAACAATTTTCTTTTTCAGGGTACCAAAATAAATCTCCAGAAAATGACATTCTTGTCAAATACTTAAAATGTTGAGACTTATCATCAAGTCAAGAACTTAAAAAGGAAAAAATAGTTTTTATTGAATTTTTAAGGAAGTTTTTTAATGAATTAATAAGTCTGTAATACTAATATTCAATACAGGTAAAAACGAAACAGTAGTCAATACTGTAAAAGTAAGAGGTCTATCCCAATTGCAAGGGGTCTAAGACTCGAAAAACTTTGGAGACTTATGCCTTTTAGTTTTATTGTCTTTTCTCTTGGTGAAATCGGTCAAAAGATGTCGTGTGATTAGGAAAGCTTGAAATAAAAATAAAAGATTAGTGATTGAAGTCATAAAGTCGATCACTGTTCAATCTGCGTCGATCGCCTGTCCAGCGCGACCAGCGAACGTGAAGTACATTTCGTTCGCTTTTTGGTTCGAGAAATTTCTCTAAATCAAAGAAAATAATCGAAAACTATCTACCAGAAAATAATTAAAAATCGAGAAACTCATGCAAAACTAGGAAAGTAAATTAACCCTTTCCACTCGGTAATACACATAAATCTCGCCATTCGCGAGTGGAAAGGGTTAATTATCTTGCATTTCAGGGAATGTCTACAGTATTCCACCAATCAACCCAATTTACTGGACAATTCCGTAAACCATCATGCACTTGGATCGCTTTAAATTGAATCGTTCATTTGAAGCCATATTTTTTTTTTTATAAAATTTCGAAATTGGTAGCTGTATAATTTTATTCATTAATTTATATTTCCAACAAATGTAACTAACTCATATATCAAAAAAATAAGCAAATAACTCAACAAATACATTTTTTACCCAAAATACAATTTTCATAAATGCCTGTAGACAATATGTATTTCAAGTTATATTCTATATCTTTTTAATTACAGTTACCTTTCAATAGATTAGATCGACGTAAAGGGCGTATTAGGCGGGTAATCGAAGTAATTTTAATCGTCTTAACGAGGAGCTAAATGTCTCTTATACTTAATTTTGAAGTTACTTGAATAAAATCTTGGCGAGCAAAACATCAAGTAGGAAAAGCAGCAGATTTTAAAACATCATATTTTTTCCAGACGTTTTGAAGTAAAAATTTATATCATTATCAGTGGATTTGATCAAATTAAAGAATAAGTAATAGAAAATAAGTATGGTAATAGTAAAAAATAAAATTTATATAAATCACTAACCCGTAGCATTAAAACTCTCAGTAAATGTAGATTGATTAGTAATTGTACTTGTAATTAATTTTAAAAAACTTACTAGAAGTCAAACTTTTATTGGGCGTAAGACTGTCTCAATTTCACATTTTTGATGTTGAATTTCCAAGCAATGTATTTCATCTTCTATTTTCATATCTACTAATGATAAACAATTGTACATCGAAATGTCTAGAAAAATTAAGCTTTCAAATATTTTCTCAATGCTGTCTTCAAGACTGTCTCAATTTTCATTTTTGATGTTTAATTTTTAAAAAATCAATTTTCATAACCACTAATGATAATAAACAATTGTACATCAAAATTTTCTGAAAAATAAAGCCTCAAAATATTTTTCCTTTTTACTTGATGTTACGTTTATTTTTGGAAAGAATAATTCATAAATAAAAAGCTTTTGAAATGATCGATTCAATTGAAAATATTAAAAAAAAATGTCAAGGAACGATGATCACAACATTTTTATGAATTCATGCAAGATATATAATAGATATAATTGAATTGAATAGATAATTTAAATAGTAATCTATAAATAGTAACTCTAGACGATAGTTACCTTGATAATTTTTATTTCAGTTCGTATCAAGTTTTAATACTACATTCTCATGCAAGTTATAATTTAAATAATAGTCTACAAATATTTAATCATTTAATAATTATAATTAATTATTTATGGACTATTTATTTAAATTTTAGTTTTAATATTAAGAATTCTACTGAAAAATACTGATTGCAAAATAGAAATATCATGCCATGAAATTTGCACAAACGAATATGAAAATGTTTCAACTGAACTGAATTAAATTTAACTAAAATAATAAACTAATTTGATGTAGATTAAAAAGTAAGATGGGTTATGATTATTAGTAAAATACACATTTATACACTTAGGGGAATTTAGTAATCTTGTTTCAAATTGTTGACGAACCCAAAATTTATGAAATATATTGTCTTAATTCTATTTCAACAATATTAATTGAAACTGATGAATGCAAAGTTAATAAAGATGACAAGATTTTTAAACAAATTTCATAAAAACATCAAACAAATCTTTTATTATTTTTTTAAACAAGAATAGAACTCTAATAAAAAAACGCCAAAAAAGATTTTCACTATTATTTGCAAGTTCTTTCGATTTCACTAAGAAAGGTGAGATTTTATAGGCGGTTTTGAATATACATACAAGAAATGAATTCAGAGTAATTTTATGCATACAAATAAAATTAAGAGAGATCCAATGTAATCAAATTTGACAATAATATAATTAATAAAAAAGTCTAACAAAAAACGCCCAAAAAACTTTACTAATTTATATTCTTAAAAGTTATAAGCATTTAGCAAATGGGACTTTATTTGATTGAAAATCGTTTTTAAATCTTAAGAAATAAAGAAATCATTTGTAAATTTTTAAATAAATATAACAAACTAGAAAATTCAATTTCGGAAATATGCATGTAATAACAAGCTATATTTTCAATTTCGATTTCCTCGAACAAGATTACTAATCCCTCTACCACGCAACCACAATCACATTCAAGTCTGCACAAAACATGACACCAAGGCATGATAACTTCCAGCTTTCTATATAATTATTATAATCGATTCCTGCAGGACGACGCAGATCCTGGTGTTTGTTTGTTTTGGTAATTAGTATTTTCTTTACTTCTTACATGAATCGTGATGTGATTTATCCTCGGCGGCGACCATCAGGGCAGCTTGCTCGGTCCCGGGCCCTTGTTGAGGAGGCGCCGGTTCTAAGGCGTTTACACAGTTAAGCATGCTCCTGAAACCAATTCGATAATTGATCGATTAATAAAAGGTACAGGTATTTGTGTCGGTGGATCCTGTGATATATTCTGAAAAATATTCCCGATGTTATTTGTGGTCAAGAACACCTGTAAAGAGATGGTGATCATCCACTAGTGGGAGGAATTAATCTAAGAAAGTAATAATCTCTAAAAATAATTGTTGAATATAGTGATATACAATTTGCACACACATACCGATAAACACACACACATATATATATATCTATAAATATATATATATATATATATATATATAGTATATATATATATATATATATATATATATATATATATATTCACCCATTTGTCATAATTATAAATAATATTATGAATTACTGAAAACAATCAGAATACAAACAACGCAGTAACCTAGCAAGCGTTGATAAAATTTCTTTTAAAACCACAAACTGCGCCTTAACAAATAAGAAATGCGTAGTTTCTGACTCACAAATAACGAATTTGAACAAGTTTAAACAAGCATTTTAGAAAAGGATTACGTCATCCGGATAAGGAATATAAAAGCTGCAAGATTACAAAATCACTAATACCTCTGGACATTAATCAATTCAAGTGATTTCAAAATTATCATTTACTTTTCTAAAAGTAGGAAATGAATATGAAGTAGGTACTTGCCTCATGTGTATGGTATAATACAACGTTGGAAAATTTACATATCAAGTCAGGCGCGACAAAATATTTTGCAGATCTACTTTGCAACGATCTATTATGTTAATAACGAATGCCGCCGTCGGGATATCGCAATAAGTATATATTTCGCAAAATAAATATTTTTAGTTTCAATAAATCGACAGATAAGCCGTTGATTTTCAATACGTAAGATTTTTTGTCGGTCTATTTCGACAGCAAACTGTGTTGGCAATTGATATTCAGCACTAGGAGGATAAGAGGCAGCAACTAACTGGATGACTTCTCAAAGAAGTTTGTTTTCATCAGAAAATCCGACTAGCTAATTTTCAAATTTGGCATTTGATGTAGTTCTGTTCCGTTCTACACAAAATTTGGGAAAAGTGTCTATGGGTATGTTGGCTAAAATTAGACCTTTCATCGACGTTTGCTCAAAAACGACTGCACGAATTTCAAAAACCTAAAACGATAGTTAACAATAGTCGCTCTGATATATAAAAAATGATATATACAATGTTATATATATACATTTAATAAAAAACAATAATAAATATATACATCATGCCAATATCATTATCGAATATTTTCCATTCAGTCACTCAATAGTTAGACCAATTCTGTATCTAGTCGTCGCAGGAAATATAAACGTGTCTTTCGACATTAAAATAGTTTAATTCACGAATATAAAATTTAAATAGTTTAATTTACGAATAATAGAGTAAATGTCTATTTATTTGTTCCGGAACTTCAGTCGGTCGTCTGATGGCGAACATTTTCCGGGGAGGAGTTTTCTCCGGCCGCAGTGATTGCCGTTGACATTGAATCTTTACGAGTCGCTGCCAGTTCTGTACTAAAACAAAATGAAAATAAAAATAAACAAAATTAACAAAAATAAAAATATCAATAAAATAAATAAGAAAAAATATAGAAAACTAAAATTAAAGGGAAAAACTAACTTCATAAAATATATAGTTAAACTAAAGTGAAAACGATATAATGTAAGGCACCAGAACTTGAAATTTAAAAGAAGAGTATTATATATATATATATATATATATATATATATTAATATATAATATATATACTAATATATATATATTAGGGTGATCCTTAATATGGATATTCCTTGCTCAGGCGGTCGGAATTAAACTTAGATTTAATTTGTGTAAAAATTGAATTGAATTGTGTAAAATGTCACATTGACCGCCTCACGAACTTGGTATATCAGATTAATTGCTCTAATTGCGAACTTTTTTATATCGGAGAAACTAGCCAAAACCCGAGTAAAAGCCTTTATCAATAAAAATAAAAATAACTCAAAAAAATACAAAGCAATTTAAGACGATGTTAACCGAGAATATTAAAGTAAACCATATTATAGATTTTTTCAACCCAAAAATTTTACATTTTGAAGAGAACGTCATTAAAAGAAGATTCGCTGAGGGTTTGTTTTTGCAATTGCATAACGACAAAGTGGATAAACAAACGTTTCGACAATATGGCCCTAAACGAAACAAACACGTGGTTCCTTAATAGCGTGTGAAAATTTCTTAAAAAATGGCAAGATCCCATCGCTTTTTAAATTTCCCGTAAAATTTGAACACATGTTAAACACTGCTTCAAGAAAAAATGTGACATTTCTATCTTAAAGTCCGAACAGTAAATACATAGTTTCGACAACTTGTTAAATTATCATGTTTATTTGTGTGTTTTATCATCTGTGATGTTAAAAAATATATATTCTATCAATGTGCACATACTCATACCATGGATACAAAATTGTAAGTGTTTTTTTATTATTATCATAATCATTATTGTTTTTCTCTGAAATTTCTTACGTATTATTTATTTAATTTTAATTTTTATAGTTAAATTGATTGCCACTGAATGAAGGCTAAGATCCTAGCCAAAACATATGGATTTTAAATAAATAAATTTATAAAAAACTCTCATACTATTTTTATTGATGTAACGCCCGATTTTTCAACTAAAAATTAAACATATTATATCAATATCAAATTCAAATATATATATATATATATATATATATATATATAAATATATAACGATAATTTATATTTTTTGTTTATTACAACCTTGTAAGAACATCATAATTATTATTGTAAGTATAATTAGTTGATTTAGTTTTTGCTTTGAAATCTACTTTTACTCCTTCGACAGCTAACACGTGTTTAAATTATGATAACTTATGGATATGCAAATAATTATGTATACTTAGTAGAATTGTGTGACATAGTTAATTTATAAGGTTCTATATTATCGAGCCATATTTGTTTCATACTTAATAACATTTCCATAAAAACTTTTAAATTTATTGTAGAAATGGGTAGCAAAAAGATATACTGCCAAATATTAATAGAGCCTAGTATCATCACTTATGCAGAAAGGATTGATTTTTTTACATTCGATTAAATTAGATCAACCTAGTCAATATTACTCGAAATTTAGTAAATTTGGTAAATTTTGGGGATCATTTTACAGAGAAATAACATATTAAACAAATATCATATAATTGTGAAAAAATTGAAATGTCTGCCAATTATTTACTTCTGCCAATATGTTGCTATTTTGAATGGTAAAAATTTAATTTAAAAAATGGATAAAAGTATGAAAATATAAGTGCATATGCACACATTCACACCCAAGTATATATGAACATAAAAGATAATTTAGATAATTGTTAGAAAAATGCCAGGTAATTTCAGGTGTACATCTCTGCAACGAAAATCGGTTAAAAATGCTCATGTTATAGTAATAAGTGAATCATATTAAATCATAGTATAAATATTATCATATTATAGCAAATCACATATATAATATTTCAATAATTTAATTATTTATAATAGTTTATAATTCAAATATACAAATAGTCCATTACTCGTCAGATAGTATGGACTTGGGAACGACATAGACTGATACATGCAGAAGTAAATTTCAGTTCTAAATTAAAAGCATAACATGACATGATAATATATATATATATATATATATATATATATATATATATATATTAATTCTTAACATTTATTTCACTAATTTGAAGAAAACACACCCACGATGGTATAATCTTGTCGTGGTAAAAATATATTGATATTTGTTAAATAATATGCATTCATTTCAGAAATACGTTTGGTAATGGTAGGATTTAGTTGATTTTTATTTTTGTTATAAATTCTGTTATAATTTTTATTTATGGAATTCGTAAAATAAAATATAAGTAATAGTTGAAAAAAATAAAAAGTCTACACAAGCTATTTTGGAGCTATGAAAGAGTGATAAAGAAAACGAAGTTGAATGACAATATATCATTCTATAAAAAACGAAATTTCATACAATAACAATATTTAAAAAAAATAAATATAACATTTTTTAAATTATGTAGAAGTACCTAATGGTTGACAATAATGAAAATTAAATGAAAAGTCTATGAAAGTTATTTTGGAGCTGAGAAAGAGTGATATCATTAAAAACAAACAAGTGGGATCATCAAATTGATGAATGAATTTATAATATTAAATGAAAGACGATATTATTGACCGAGAAACGACATTTTATAATATAAACAATTAATTAAATAACTTACCAATAAAAAATCATATGTAAATAATAGTTGAAAAAAAACATGTATACACAAGCTAATCTGGAAGAGCTTTGGAAATTTGATACTGAACAGAAAAATCAAATGTTTTCAAAATTATGGATTATTAAATTTAAGTTAAATAAATGTGTTAATTTGCAGATAAAACAAATGTTTAATGACTGAAACGCTGATGTGAAAAATATTTTTGTAAAAACGCATAATTATCAAATAAATAATTAGTTACTAACATAACTAAGAAAATGTGAATTAATCGCAGTAGAACTAAAAAAAAATATTATAAATAAATAATCACCTATCGTGATAGCAAAAATAATATAAATCAAACCTAGTAGGTCAAAAATATAATATTTAGTTAATAATTTAATATACAAAAAATATGCAATATGATCATCAAACACAATATTCATTAATGAATATTTACTTAATGAAATCAAGGTATCATTATTAAAATCTTGGGTAAATCGTAAATGTTTATAGTGACATAATAGTAAATTGTAAAGTTATTAACTATCAATTTTCAAACAATATTATAATCTACCATAATTTTCTCTGAAAAAACTCGGATGCAAATACTTGCCTCTCATGTCACATTTGAAAGGCCTTTTCTTAGTTCATACTCAAAACACAATTAGAACAGTAAATTCCAAACAAATATAAAAAATGTATCAAAAACTAATTCTCGTTCGACAAAAGTAAAAAAGATGTTAA